TTGTGTTTATTTTGAGTTGTTGATGAATCTGACTTTAAATGATTGGGTTCAAATGTCAGAATCCAGGCTGGATTTGTAGAGTTGATTGAAATTGGTTTGTTTATTGTCTTTTCAGGAAAGTTCACCGATTTCTAATATATTTGGGTTTAGAAACTGGTTTTAATGTGTCTTTGTTAGAATGTTAGAAAACCCACAAGATTGATCAGAATGTTTAAGAACCAGTCAAAGTCCACCAACACGCAATATTATCATGAACTGGGAACTGTGTCCACAAAGAAAGGAAGTTCAATTTCAACATGGACAAAGACGAAATTAACAACTTAGATCAGGGATGCACCGAAGTGAAAATGTAGGCCAGTATTGATATCTGATAATAATAATTGAATTAGAACTGATATATTTATCTATACACATACAGCTGTACAATTTGAATTTATCTTGCCAAATGACTGTCTCAATTAACCCAATGAAGCTGATTATGAGTTGATGAATTGATTAATCAGATTAATCATGAGAAATCGATTATAAATATAATTATCAACTAATTTATTAATTGATTAATCATTTACTGGAGTATATCAACACAAACAAGATAAACTGCAGAAAGAACAGCACACTCAGAGCAGTAATGAAGAAAAAACATTTTGCTTTTAAGAGGTAAAAAAACTTATTTGCACCCAGAACTCCTCAAGTGGCAGTTTTAGCTTGTTAAATTTAGCAAAAGAAACATGTACATGCAGTTATCTAATTATTAATTGGTTAATCCCAAAAAATGTCTATTTCTATCATTGCTTAAAGTGAATAAATGAAAAACCTGCAGAATGTGTCAATTTTTTTGCAGATTAATTGATCAGAATCGATTAATCATAGATTAACCGATTACTAAGCTGATCATCAGTTTGAAATGTCTGATCTCCTCAGATCAGATCCCCTTCGCCGTCTCCCTGGACCAAGTCAATGACATCGTGGCTGGAGACATGCGCTTCGTGCAGAACCGAGCCATCGCCTTCACCGTGACCCTCCATGACCCCAGCCAGTACCTTGGCAACGCAGACATCACCTTCAACTGGGACTTTGGCGATGAAAGTGGGGCGCTCATATCCAGAGAGATGACCGTCACTCACACATACATCAGCTCTGGATCGTTCAAACCCCAGGTGGTCATCCAGGCGGTCATCCCTGATAAGGCCTGTGACCCACCATCCGACCCCCCGACCTCCACCATCGGACCGGCTGCCGTCCAGGCAACCACAGGTCAGGAACCGATGCTGCTAGTTCATGTAATTCATATGGGTAATTCCATCATCCATCCATCCATCCATCCATCCATCCCATCCATCCATCCATCCATCCATCCATCCATCCATCCATCCATCCATCCATCCATCATCATCCATCCATCCATCATCCATCCATCCATCCATCCATCCATCCATCCATCCATCCATCATCCATCCATCCATCCATCATCCATCCTCATCCATCCATCATCCATCATCCATCCATCCATCCATCCATCCATCCATCCATCCATTGTCCATCATCTATCCATCCATCCATGCATGCATCCATCCATTTCCATGCATCCATCCATCCATCCATCCATCCATCCATCCATGCATCCATCCATCCATCCATCCATCCATCCATCCATCCATCCATCCATCCATCCATCCATCCATCCATCCATCCATCCATCCATCCATCCATCCAGTTTTAAATTTTTTTAATCTACTAAAATGTGCAATCTCAGGCTGAAATGTATTTTTCATTATATTGAACATAAAACTGAAATTTGATTTATTCATTGAACCAGTTTAATTTCCAAATAGTGCCCTGGAATGAAAACATGAGGTTTGTTAGTGTATCAATAATGTTATGTTTTTAGTGATTATTGTTTTCGTCTATAGAAAATGCAAACTAATTCAACAACTCTCTGTGTGTGAAGTGAAAACTCCCGATCTGGTCTCTGCTGTTCCCATGCTGGTTTCCACCAACCCAGCTCATTTGAACATCAACATGGTTCTCTCAGACACTGAGGAGGACAACGCTGAGGGAGAAGCCTCCACTGCCTCCATGGTTCAGGCTGACCAGGAAGCTGCAGTAGCAAAGACTCTGCCCCCAATAAACAAACTCCAAACAGGAAGCAAGATGGCGGCAGGTAAGTTACCACGATCTGCATGTAGCTAAAACTGGAGAGAAAAAATTCCTGATCTCTGATCCGTCCGTCCGTCCGTCCGTCCGTCCGTCCGTCCGTGTCCGTCCGTCCATCCATCCATCCATCCATCCATCCATCCATCCATCCGTCCATCCAAATATAAAAGAAAAAATCTCTACAGACAATGTTTGATTCCTGCTTAAACTCTTAAAAATGTAATCTAAAATGATCTCCTTTCTTGTAAGAAATACAATTTTGGGTATTTTGGAGTTAAATAAATACCTATACATTTTTTGAGTAAGTACTCATAAAAGAAAAAGAAGCTAATTGTTCTGTTTGTTTGTGGCCAGACGGAAAGAAAACAGTGAGGCTGTCAGGACGAGTTGCAGCCATTGTTGTTGCTAAGAGGGAAGCAGAGGATAAACCATCTGATGATGACTGTGTGATATATAGATATGGTTCTTTCTGCACTGGCATTGAAATTTTTGGTAAGTTATTTTGAAACATCCCCTGAAATAACATAAAAATAAATCACGTTTTTATGTTGTTTCAGTTTGAAATGACCATAAATGATACTCATCGCTTATTTTTTTTCCAGAGGGCATTGAAAAAGTAGAGATTGTGCAAATGGAAAATGTTCTCATGACAACACCTCGAAAAGACACAAATGTTTTAGACATTACTGTGACCTGCCAAGGAAGGTGTGTACTGGCGTGCCATAATTTAGGGTCAGGAATGAACGTGGATTTAACTTCAAGAAAGTTTTCATTTATTGGGTTTTCTTCATCCCAGTCATCCCAAAGAGGTCTGCAGTGTGATTCTGGACTCAGACTGCCTGAAGCCGATTCACATAGCGTGCAACCTGGTGGAGCCCTCTAAGGAGTGCCAGTTGGTGTTGCGTCACTTCTTTAACTCCTCTGGGGACTACTGCATCAACGTTTCCATGGCAAATGATGTCAGTTTAGCTGCTGCCACTGCCAGATTCACAGTTGACTTGAGTATGTAACAAACCTGCAATGTGCCAGCAAATAAGAGGCTCTGTCAGATTTCTTGATCATGGAAACTCTTTTGCAGGCTCAGGTTTGTCTTCCTCCGGCACCATCGTCATGCTGTTGGGTGTCCTGGTTCTCATTCTCACAGTGGGGATTGTTGGATACTCCTACAAGTAGGAACTGTCACCTTCAACATCTTCTCTTGCTCAAACTTTCCACAGTGATTTTTATCAAGTATCCCAGATTTACATCCAGAGCGTCTTTAATTTGCATGGATAAGAACATATTCAAATTAGACATATTTCCATCTTCCTCAGTACTGCAAACAGGCCTCCTTCATTGTAACAGCTGGCCTGGAAGGCCTTTTGCTGCAAACTATCAGCTCACATCTGCTTCCTTGTATCTAAATATTGGAAGCTGAGTCTCAGGGTTGCTCACTTCCTGTTCAATTTTAAACTGGATCTCTGTATTGCTAGGGATGACAAGAACAGCTGAACTCTGTGACTCTGCAAAATGGTTTTTCATACTTTTAACTCATTTTGAATACGGTGTACAAATGCAACATGGCTAACAGCCACTCAAATGCTAGAAACAAAGCTACTGTTAACAGCTAATGTCTGGCTAATAGCAAATATGTTGCTAATGGCTATTGTGTTGCTAACAGCTAATGCATGGCTAAAGCTAGTGTGTGACTGAAAGGAAATGTTTTACCACAACTTAATGTATTACAAACTGCAAATGTGTCGCTTATACCTAATATGTTGCTAACATGTTGCCAATGTGCAAAGAGCAAATGCTCTTTGCACATTGGCAATAGATAGCCGCTAGCAATAAATATATTGCTAGCGGCTAACACCTAGGGTGATAGCATCAAGTCTACTGCTAACAGCTAATATTTAAAGCTAATATTTAGTTAAAAGTTATAGTTAAGCTAACAGTGAATGTTTTGCCGCTAGTTGGTGTTGCAAACAGCTAATGATAGATGTTTACCTTATTATAAATATTTTTATTTTAACTATTGTCTGTAAAATGAAGAAATGTTAACTTGTCTTATTGGGGAGGCTATAATTCAGTATCTCAACATATCAAGAGTACTGACCAACCCATTGATTCTTAATTGTGTGGGTTCTGTTAAATAATTTATAACTTTGAATTACAAAATGATGTCTATTTTTCTGCTTTGCACAGGCGTCTTAGACCCTACCATCCTTTAAAGGAAGCTGCATCTGAAGGCCCACAGCTCAGTGGGGTTCGCAGCAGCTATGCAGCTTCGACGCTCTGGAACTCCCTAAACAGACCAGGAGCCATCGATAACAGCCCTCTGCTGCAGGACAGGCCGCTGTAAATCCCTAGCATCAGTCAAATAAAGCCCTTGGGATGCATTTTATACTTTTTTTCCCAAAATATAGGCCTCATAAATATAAAATAATTATTGTTAAATCAAGTAGTTTTTTTCTTTTTTTAGATATGCTGATTCTTTTTTTTACTGTCTTAAAACAAGTGTGAACAAAACTTCTTGGACTTGAACAAAACTGGATTTTGATGTTTTAATTAAATGTCTAAAATGTTTATGTGTTTGCAAGTTAATTATAGATACCTAAAAAATAGAGTATACATGCAATATGTTGGATAATTTTAATCACTTTGAATCGACTCACCAGGTGCCTCCCTTCATCAACACACCTGGATCAAATGGCTCATCAGCGTTTCTGAGATCTGCAATGGGTTGGTACCAAACCAGTCATGTGATTAAGGTGTGCAGAAGTGGGTTGCTTCTCAAAATTGTTACAGTAGATCTGGATGTTTTGATTTGGGCACCACATGTTTAGATAAATAATCAGACACACAACTTTTCACATCACAGAGATTTTATTCAGAACAAAGCCAAACTTCACAACTTCAGGAGTTTTATTCAAAAAGCAAATCCAATACTTTGATGGACAAACATCTCTGGTTTGAATGCATTTAAGAATTTGTTGTGATCGAATATTTCCTGCTCAACTTCTCTGTGGTTCTTTTAATACTCTTCTCCTTCCTCCTCTCCCTCACCCTCAATGGAGTCGACTCCAACCTCCTCGTAATCCTTCTCCAGAGCTGCCATGTCCTCCCTGGCCTCGGAGAACTCTCCCTCCTCCATTCCCTCACCCACATACCAGTGGACGAATGCACGCTTGGCGTACATCAGGTCGAACTTGTGATCCAGCCGAGCCCAGGCCTCTGCAATAGCAGTGGTGTTGCTCAGCATGCACACAGCCCTCTGGACCTTGGCGAGGTCACCACCAGGAACCACAGTTGGTGGCTGGTAGTTGATGCCAACCTTGAAACCAGTGGGACACCAGTCCACAAACTGGATGGTGCGTTTGGTTTTGATGGTGGCAATAGCAGCATTGACGTCCTTGGGCACCACATCACCACGGAAAAGCAAGCAGCAGGCCATGTACTTGCCATGGCGAGGGTCACATTTCACCATCTGATTGGCCGGCTCGAAGCAGGCGTTTGTGATCTCGGCCACTGAGAGCTGCTCATGGTAAGCCTTCTCTGCAGAGATCACCGGGGCGTAGGTGGCCAGAGGGAAGTGGATACGAGGGTATGGTACCAAGTTGGTCTGGAACTCAGTCAGATCAACATTCAGGGCACCATCAAAACGGAGAGACGCAGTGATGGAGGACACGATCTGGCTGATCAGCCTGTTCAGGTTGGTGTAGGTGGGGCGTTCGATGTCGAGGTTCCTGCGGCAGATATCGTAGATGGCCTCGTTGTCCACCATGAAGGCACAGTCTGAGTGCTCCAGGGTGGTGTGGGTGGTCAGGATGGAGTTGTAGGGCTCCACAACAGCAGTGGACACCTGGGGAGCTGGGTAGATGGAGAACTCCAGCTTGGACTTCTTTCCGTAGTCGACGGAGAGACGCTCCATCAGCAGGGAGGTGAAACCAGAACCGGTTCCTCCACCGAAGCTGTGGAAAACCAGGAAGCCCTGCAGGCCTGTGCACTGGTCAGCCTGAGGATGAAGATGGAAACCAAAATCAATTGCTGACTGATAATTCAAAGACAAATTTGGAAATTAGCGGCGCTAAGTTTACCCACCAGTTTCCGAATCCTGTCCAGAACCAGGTCGATGATCTCTTTGCCAATGGTGTAGTGTCCTCTGGCGTAGTTGTTAGCAGCATCTTCCTTCCCAGTGATCAGCTGTTCAGGGTGGAACAGCTGGCGGTAGGTCCCAGTGCGAACCTCATCTGAGCAGAAAAATTAAACTTAATTTAGGTTTACAGATTTTTCACATTAAACACCAAGTTTATTTGTATGGCAGAAGTGATCTTGCTTACCGATGACAGTGGGCTCCAGGTCTACAAAAACGGCTCTGGGGACGTGCTTCCCTGCTCCGGTCTCGCTGAAGAAGGTGTTGAAGGAGTCGTCTCCTCCTCCAAGAGTCTTGTCACTGGGCATCTGCCCGTCCGGCTGGATGCCATGCTCCAGGCAGTAGAGCTCCCAGCAGGCGTTGCCGATCTGAACACCGGCCTGACCGACGTGGATGGAGATGCACTCACGCTATGGAGTAAAGGGCAAGGAAAAAGATTTATCAATTTAGATTAAACCAATACAGTCTTTTGCACATTAACACATCCGAGTTCTGGAGACATTTAAGTGCTCCCCCTGTCTGTTAGGACTAGGTACTGCAGCAGCAGGAGGCACCACCCTGCACCACAATTGGCAGGGGATTCAGAATGCCTGCCAGCAGAAGCCCCCTCTCTTGTCTTTGATCTGCTTTTTTTCATGCTCAGGCCTTTTTCTCCAACTCTTGCACCCAGTTTACAAGAATAAGCACACATGCAAATGAATGCATGCAAATCACAGGCGCAGACACTGTGAGTCTGGAATATTCCACTTGATCTCCTTGGAGATGCACAATCACAGCGGATGCTTGAACACAAAATGAAAAGAATAAAAAACAGACCTTCCCCTTGAAATCTGTTATATAATTCAAGTTTATTTAATCAGGTTGTTTGCAGTAAGAATGTAAATGTAATTAAAACTATGCTGTCATTTGAAATTAAGCTTAGAATAATATGAATCATTTATTTTTCATAGATTATATATTGGGTCCCGTTAATAAAAAAAAAAAAAAGAAAGAAATCTTCGTGCATCCATCCATATCCAGTACAAACTGCCCCTCCCTGCCTTTATGAGAAACGTGTAAATATTCATATTCCAGTTTATAAATAGACCAAATTGGAAAATGTATAACAAAACATGAATAATGAAGTAAACAAGTTTTTTTTAAATTAACATTTTATGCAGATGTATCGCTCTTATTGTGCGTCTAAATGCCCCCAGTCATGCATTGTTCTCATCTCCAAACAATGACAATCACACTGTGGCACAACTGCGCACCGGCCTGTGCATCATTTATATAATCTGACAGCTTCCTTTCATTCAAAAAGTCATTAAGACATACAGTAAACATCTAGATTAGAATAAAACATCCCCACGTGTTAAAAGCTTTACGCATCGAAAGAAGAAAATCCTTCCCGACGTCGTGTGACAGCCGAGACGCCGGCTGGCGCTGAATCCTGACCAATTTCTGCCTCACAAATTCCTCCGGTCGAGATTCATTGACCACAAATAATCAAAAAACTCACCATTTTTCCGTCTGAGGTTCAAAGAGGAAGAGGAGAAGGAGAAAATGCCCAGAAGGAGGCTTTGTAAAAACGGGGTGTTTGCGTTGCGTGTTGTACCCAACGGGGTCGATGCAACAACTGCTGAATGGGAGGGAGGCGCAGGCGGATTTATGCAGGCAGGGCAGCGGATTTGCTCCTGTGCTGAGTGGAAAAAAACACGATTCTACCGCCGCCATTTGGTGATGCTGCGCAGATCAGACTGCAGGATAACTCAGGATTTTTAAAAAGCAAAAATGTAAACAGATTAATCTCAGTAATAATAATTTTATTTTGTGATTTATTTTCACTGTGTCATATGGTGCTTATATGCAATAGTTTTGACGTGATGGATGAGTTCAGAGGACGCTCATTTATTATCTGTGCACCAGCATCCGTCTGGGTGTGGCATCTTCCCACAGCAGTTCAGACAATGAGCTTCAGACGTCCCTGCACAAGCTGACGTCTGCAGAGGGTTCATGTTGCAGAGACCTGCTGTGATGTGTCAGTCCGGCATAGCAGCTTCTTGCCTCTTCTGCCTCTTTGTCCCAGATCCTCTGCAATGATGTCATCCATCCATTGGGGTGATCACGTGGCTGTCCTGCTGTTCAGCAGCATAGAGGCTGGGTCCATGCAGCTTCTGGCCTGTTCAAGGAACTGAAACTGCCTGAAAAGCAGTTATCAGAAATAGCGCCTGGAAGGGCAAATGGCTGTGAGGGATCTACAGCATTAAATGCTGTTGTTGGAAACCATTTCTTCAGGCAGAAATCTGAATCTCAATGTAGGGTTTCTTTTTCTGTCCTACAACAAGGGCACTGATGATGTATCACACTCAAAATGACAGGAAAGAGCTGTGGCTGTGAGCCAGGACTGTTTGAGAACATTTCTATCTCCTCCTCCTTCTCTCCGTTTCCTCCTCTCTCCCCAGCAGCTGTGAAACAGGGAGGGTCAAAGCAGCTGCTCAGCACGAACAGAGAGGAGGATGGGAATGCTGGGGATGGGAGTGGTCCTTCGTGGCATGACTGCATTGCATCGATGCAAACTGAGAACCCAACACCCAACAATGTGACAGAGCATATTCTCCGTCTGTCGCAGAGTGCTTCCTGTATGAGTGTGAAAAAAAAAAACAGAACTATCAAATGAAAATGGTTATAAACTATTTTAAGTCTGTTAACTTCCTGGATCTGATGACTCACTGACATAAGAATAAAAAAATACATCTGCACATGTAATAAAAGTTTATATCCTTTTTCTGAATGTCTGCACCACTTTGCAATGAGAAACTCAAATTTCTGCTTACTCTTCTTTGAAAAATAATAGGTTTATTACAAAAAAGAAGCATTTTTTCAAGTTTGGTCTTTGACTGAGCCATGCATTAATATGCTTTTATCAGAACCAGTCTCCAGTAGGTCTGACCATGAGGGAACTGGCCACTGGGAACACTGGGACACTTACTGGTGGCCTGGCCGCTTTGGGGCAGAACACAAGGTCCAGTTCAGGTTACACTTAATAAAAAACAATCCATGCCGCTCATGTAATTTGCTTATGATAATGAGCATCATGACAGTTTTCTGGAGTTGACATTCTAACTTTTCTCAAGACAGGTCTGAACTTAGCTATTGGAAAATACATGTTGGTGGCATTATTCTTGTTGTATGATGTCCTCATTCTCTAACAAGATTGATCCTTTACGCTATTAATCATAAATATTATTTGTACTGTATTTTGGAAAATATCTGAACTAACATTGTTGCTTTTTGTTTTGCTGATCTTCCATCTCTAATTAAAACAGGACAACCAGACTTTCCCAACATGCCTTGAAGCTGAGTGGATACAACATCGGCTGAAAGTGAAAGCGGATTGGCTGTAAGCACTCTGCTCTGACACATTAGTCAAAGATCAGAACTTGAATCGGTTTCTGTTTTCAGGTAGTGAAACTCACACATTCATTGTGACTGAGTGAATGTCACAATGAGGAATGAAATGGAGCAGAATCAGCTGGACCCAGAAACTTTCTCCTGTTCCATCTGTCTGGATCTTCTGAAGGATCCGGTGGCGATTCCCTGTGGACACAGCTACTGTATGAACTGTATTACAAACTTCTGGGATGGAGGTGAGACCAAGAAAAGCTACCACTGTCCTCAATGCAGGAGAAGCTTCACACAGAGGCCTGACCTGGAGAAAAACACCATCCTAGCAGCTTTAGTGGAGCAGCTGAAGAAGACTGGACTCCAAGCTGCTCCTGCTGATCACCGCTATGCTGGACCTGAAGAGGTGGCCTGTGATTTCTGCACTGGAAGAAAACTGAAGGCCACCAAGTCCTGTTTGGTCTGTCTGGCCTCTTACTGTGAGAAACACATTCAGCCTCATTATGTTGTGGCTCCATTAAAGAAACACAAGCTGGTGGAGCCGAACAAGAACCTCCAGGAGAACATCTGCTCTCGTCACGATGAGGTGATGAAGATGTTCTGCCGCACTGATCAGAAGTGTATCTGTTATCTCTGCTCTGTGGATGAACATAAAGGTCATGACACAGTGACAGCTGCAGCAGAAAGGACTGAGAGGCAGAGAGAGCTGGAGGAGAGACGAGGAAACATCCAGCAGATGATCCAGGACCAGGAGAAAGATGTGAAGCTGCTTCAACAGGAGGTGGAGGCCATCAATCGCTCTGCTGATAAAACAGTGGAGGACAGTGAGGAGATCTTCACTGAGCAGTTGCTTACAAGAAAGTTAGTAGAAAAGGTCAGAATAAATGTATATTTGGAAAAAAATGACAAATTTTGGGAATTAGATTGTTTCCGTTCTATGTTTGGTCACAACAGCATCTGGATCTCCGTCTCCGGTCCGGTTCCCTCTAGAGTGGGAGTGTACCTGGATCACAGAGCAGGTATTCTGTCCTTCTACGTCTCTGAAACCATGACTCTGATCCACAGAGGGAAAATCTAAAGTTCTCTGGGCTCTAATACACTTGCTTTAATATTTATTCTGATGTATTTGGATGTTCTGGTTTCGCTTACAAAACCATAGCAACAAACCACATATACATATATATTAATAACGGTTATAACATCACTGGAAAGTGCCTGGTACAAGCATCGCGCCTCGTTCTCTTTCAGTCTCCTAAGATGCATTTTTCTTCAAATATTTTAGATATACTTTTTAAAAATTCTTGCCAATAGGCAGAGGTCCACTGTACACAATTTACAAGGGCAAATATGCACAGAAAATATTCGTGAGGAAAAATTAATTTAAAATGTAAAGAGAATCACCTTTGGCATCTTTGTTTTGCATCAGTGTCACCAATCACTGCAGCATCCATCAGTTTCTGAGCCTTTTGACACCAACCAAAATACATAGAAAGGAAAGTATTTTGTATGCTGCCAAAAAACGCAGCACACAAGAATAAAAACCACATTTCAAAATCCGACTGAAGCTTTGTTGTCACTAGATGTTTGTTGTTAAAAATAGCCCACTAATTGCCCACAGTCAAAGAAGGTCTAGCATGACTCTAACCACTGTTTCATTATTTTGTTGTTAGCAACAAAGGGGCTTAAAGACACGTCAGGCCAAAAAGCGTTTGTGGTCATTGTCTCTGAAAGGTGATAGTTTAGCAAAGATAATAACACCAAACTCCAAGAGAAAGAGCTGCTTTGTCTCATCCATTTTAATGTCACAGCACACCATCCTCATGGGAAGAGCAGATGGGCGTTTCCCTCACAGAGACAAGACATGGAGATCTGGGGAGAGAGAAAGATCACATCCCCCCTGCTCACAGCGCAGCCTCCTAACGGAGCTGCAGTTTAGGCTGGGTCACGTGTTGGCCAGATAAAGGCTCTCTCTGTGTGTGGTTACAAGGCTGTTTCCAGGCAACTCCTTTATTCAGCTTGTAGGAACCGTTAAATCTTAGGAGCAGGGATGGAGGGGGAAGGGTTGGACATCCGCAGCTCTCTGTGGCCTACATCCCTCATGTGTGACAGGGCAGTTTGACCTCTTTTTAATGCAACAAGACTGTAAAGTCTGACCAAACAACAGCAGATTAAATCAGATGTCGACCACATCCGTCATATAAAAACAGGGAGATTTTGCATAACATGTAAATGAAACATGATGTGAATCGGTTTCATAGGATGGAGAAAAAAATCTGAATACAATATGTTAAACGTGTTTTTAATTATGCTTTAAGGCTGTGCAAATTCTGAAATATCATCATGAAGTTTGGAATATTTGAGATAAATTGAGAAATTCTGGACAAAATTTACAAGATAACGAATTAAATGATTCTCTACCATGTTACTCATGAAAAAAATTGCCATAATAGTGCATTTTGGAGATTTTTCCAGCTGAAAATAAAACAAGCAATGTTAACAGGAAATCTGAGATATATTGCTTATTATGAGGTAGGTGTCATGTGTAATTAAATTTGCAGGCCACATTTACAGATCTGGATCTAGCATTATCTAAATCCGAGCTGTGGAGCAACTCGCCACCATTTTTAAAAAGATATTTGGATTTTTCTTGCTGTATTTTTCAACTAACAAAAGACTGAAGAGGACTCTATCTGTTAGCCATAATGATGCATCCTCTGGATGATGCTGCATCCTGTATTATGGGCGTCCACTCTGGAGGTCTGCAAAGAAATCAATATATCTTCCTGAAGATACTGTTCATTTTGTCTCCCAGTTTGCTGTCTGATTCTTTCTTCTTATTTTTTGTCATATTTAATGAAATACATTAAAAAATCAACAATCATTTGTTTTAAAGAAAATTTGAAAGGAAGGTCATAATATATCATGTCTTATTCCTGCTACAATAAAATATATTATTGGTGCTACACGTTTGCGTTATCTTAATTTTTTTATCCTCATTTGTGTTTGAAAAGATTTTTTCCATATAAAAACGGTACAAAAACTGTTTTACTACAGTTCTTATCAGGCTGACCCAATTTTTTTATTATATTATATTTTTACATCATTGTAAAAATTACACAGCATTTTCCACTCAAGCAGAAACAACATGATGCTTGCAGTACAATACAAGGAGGGCAGGCTCGCACCTGGGTGGGGTTGATGGGCGGAGACTCCTCTTGGCTTTCGGAATGGTCCAATAGGAATCGACGAAATCATAGCGACCCTTAAAGTGACAGGAAATGGACCAATAGGAGCGGAGAAGCTGCCGGCGCCGGGGCTTCACTCGCATATATAGCTCCGGCATCATCATGTTCGCCATTATCTCTTACATCGACCCCATAACTGTCGAATTGTAAGACTCCTTTTCCGAGGAGACTCTTCCATCCTCCTTCACAACTTCAGCGAAACAACATGGTAAGAACCTTTAACCAGCTTTTCTAAAAGAACAAAACTGAGGTCAGAGTGATGGTGTAACGGAAGCTCATCTGATTTAAACAGTCAAAATAAATGTATTTACTATAATGAATGAAGTTTTGATTCATTATTTAAACGCTTTATTAATGCTAGAAAGCGTAGGTGAAAATGTCATGTTCGTTGGAGGGAGGGGTTCTGGCGAGGTTCGGATGGGGACGTGGCGGCAGTGTGGACAAAAGAGTCTCTTCAGCCCACCCTCCTTGGTGGACAGTGAATAACGGAGGCTTTATTGCCCCAGCCTGGTTGGCATGGCTAAAACCCCGGCCAGCATCACAGGGTGACAGCTGGAGGCCGTGACTGTAATGTAGTGGCAGGCAGAGTGAACACGACCCACTCCCACTGAAACCTTATCCGGACTGAAAATGGATTAAACGCACAGTCAGCATGGCGTCGGTCATTAAAAATGCAGACGAGTAACGGGCACTTCGGACTCGCTCCTAATGGCCCTCAGCAAGGATGAACAGAGTGGACATAGCGCTGCGATTTTTAATGGTCATATAAGCGTTAATACTATCCGGTCATAAAAGACATGGAGGTCACCGTTAGTCGGTCAGTTTTAAGACTTTTCACGTAGATTTAACGGCTCAAACAAACATCACCGGTTGCCTAAGTGACGCGTTTGTTTCATAGCAACGGAGTTCCAGACACAACTGCATTGCGCAAGGAAAAAAAAGAGAAAAGAAAATGTCGCGAGATTAGCGAACTAATGAAAGTCTACTTACTTACCAGTACATTTCACCCATGAACTTCAGGTACACAGCTGAAAATTCCAATTTTTCAAAAATGATTAATCGTGAAAGTTATATTTATCACATAAATCACATTAGATGTTTTTCTTTCATTCACAAGTCTTAATGAAAGGCTTTTTCCTTCATCAATATGAATTAGTTTTAGTAAACTGTTAAAATTCTCCTAATTAGTTTTTTCTTTCTCACAGCGTGAGTGCATCTCCATCCACGTCGGTCAGGCCGGTGTTCAGATCGGCAACGCCTGCTGGGAGCTCTACTGCCTGGAGCATGGCATCCAGCCGGACGGGCAGATGCCCAGTGACAAGACCATTGGAGGAGGAGACGACTCCTTCAACACCTTCTTCAGCGAGACCGGAGCAGGGAAGCACGTCCCTAGAGCCGTTTTTGTAGACCTGGAGCCCACTGTCATCGGTAAGCAAGATCACTTCTGCCATACAAATAAACTTGGTGTTTAATGTGAAAAATCTGTAAACCTAAATTAAGTTTAATTTTTCTGCTCAGATGAGGTTCGCACTGGGACCTACCGCCAGCTGTTCCACCCTGAACAGCTGATCACTGGGAAGGAAGATGCTGCCAACAACTACGCCAGAGGACACTACACCATTGGCAAAGAGATCATCGACCTGGTTCTGGACAGGATTCGGAAACTGGTGGGTAAACTTAGCGCCGGTAATTTCCAAATTTGTCTTTGAATTATCAGTCAGCAATTGATTTTGGTTTCCATCTTCATCCTCAGGCTGACCAGTGCACAGGCCTGCAGGGCTTCCTGGTTTTCCACAGCTTCGGTGGAGGAACCGGTTCTGGTTTCACCTCCCTGCTGATGGAGCGTCTCTCCGTCGACTACGGAAAGAAGTCCAAGCTGGAGTTCTCCATCTACCCAGCTCCCCAGGTGTCCACTGCTGTTGTGGAGCCCTACAACTCCATCCTGACCACCCACACCACCCTGGAGCACTCAGACTGTGCCTTCATGGTGGACAACGAGGCCATCTACGATATCTGCCGCAGGAACCTCGACATCGAACGCCCCACCTACACCAACCTGAACAGGCTGATCAGCCAGATCGTGTCCTCCATCACTGCTTCTCTCCGTTTTGATGGTGCCCTGAATGTTGATCTGACTGAGTTCCAGACCAACTTGGTACCATACCCTCGTATCCACTTCCCTCTGGCCACCTACGCCCCGGTGATCTCTGCAGAGAAGGCTTACCATGAGCAGCTCTCAGTGGCCGAGATCACAAACGCCTGCTTCGAGCCGGCCAATCAGATGGTGAAATGTGACCCTCGCCACGGCAAGTACATGGCCTGCTGCCTTTTGTACCGTGGTGATGTGGTGCCCAAAGACGTCAATGCTGCCATTGCCACCATCAAAACCAAGCGCACCATCCAGTTTGTGGACTGGTGTCCCACTGGTTTCAAGGTTGGCATCAACTACCAGCCACCAACTGTGGTTCCTGGTGGTGACCTCGCCAAAGTCCAGAGGGCTGTGTGCATGCTGAGCAACACCACTGCTATTGCAGAGGCCTGGGCTCGGCTGGATCACAAGTTTGACCTGATGTACGCCAAGCGTGCATTCGTCCACTGGTATGTGGGTGAGGGAATGGAGGAGGGAGAGTTCTCCGAGGCCAGGGAGGACATGGCAGCTCTGGAGAAGGATTACGAGGAGGTTGGAGTCGACTCCATTGAGGGTGAGGGAGAGGAGGAAGGAGAAGAGTATTAAAAGAACCACAGAGAAGTCAGGAAAGCAGAAAGTGATTACATGCACTGTGTTCTTGAATGCATTCCAAACAGAGATGTTTGTCCATCAAACTATCATGTT